GTCCCTGTGATGGACTGGAGACATGTGCAGGTGTCCCTGTGATGGAGTGGAGACCTGCCCAGGTTTCCCTGTGATAGAATGGAGACAAGTCCGGGTATCTCTGTGATGGACTGAGAGCTGTCAATGTGTCCCTGTGATGGACTCTGAAACCTATTCATGTATCTCTGTGATGGACTGGAGACCTGTCCAGGTGTCCCTGTGATGGACTGGAGATCTGTCCAGGTGTCCCTGTGATGGACTGAGACCTGTCCAGGTGTCCCTGAGATGGTCTGGAGACCTGTCCAGGTGTCCCTGTGATGTACTGAGACCTGTGCAGGTGTCCCTGTGATAGACTAGAGACCTGTTCAGGTGTCCCTGTGATGGACTCTGAAACCTGTCCAAGTGTCCCTGTGATGGACTCTGAAACCTGTCCAAGTGTCCCTGTGATGGACTCTGAAACCTGTCCAAGTATCTCTGTGATGGACTGGAGAGTGGAGGATTACATTTTTTTCGGGAGTACCGCGGGTCACGTGATTCCGGGCAGATTCCGGAGGTAGCGGAGTCAACCTCATTATAACTCACGTGACCGGGATGTGACCGGGACGTGACCGGACTGAAAGCTAATGGGAGCAGACAGGAGCGGGAACTGACCAATAACCAAAAATGAAAATGAAATAAACAAACAAAAAAAACATGGGCACAGCTATTTTGTAGTTTTCTTTCAGTAAGCCGTCACTTTAAAACAAGTCAAAAGAACTATTGAGCATGGACTTTGTTGTCAAAAGAACTACATTGCCCAGAAGTCATCTGTTTGAGCCGTAGCTTTTCACCGAGAGGGTAGGAGGAGCAGCGAAGCGGTACAGAGTAACTGAAAATAGTTTGTAACGCAGGTAAGAAGTAACTGTCTGTCTATTATCCAAAAAAGTTCAATCTGGTCCTCTGGACATTAAAAAAAAAAAAAAAAAAAAAAAATTATAGAAACGTTTCGTCTCTCATCCAAGAGACTTCCTCAGTCTGAGGTGCTGTTTTCAGCTCAGTCTCTTAAATAGCACCTTCTCAGAGTGGATCAACCAGTTTGCTGCTGACAACCAAAACCAGCTGATCACATGCTCAAGAAGGACCATCAGCCTAACAATGGATCATTAGCACACTGATGGCTGTTTACTATTCACAGAGGGCTGAGTGATACGAGCAATCACAGCATTGTAAGAGGGGGACAGTTGAACCCGGAGGCTCCACCCCTGTTTAATGATGGATGATTTCTTTTCACAAAGATGGCCTCCTTTACTCCTCTCTCAAACCATCGTTCCTCTCTGTCCAGGATGTGAACATCTTCATCCTTGAAAGAGTGACCGCTGGCCTGGAGATGAGTGTAGACCGCAGAATCCTGGCCTGATGATGTTGATCTTCTGTGCTGGGCCATCCTTTTGGCCAGTGGCTGTTTTGTTTCCCCGATGTAAGACTGATCACAGCCCTCCTGACACTGAACAGCATACACAATATTACTCGGTTTGTGCCGGGGGACTGGATCTTTGGGATGAACCAGTCTTTGCCGCAATGTATTTTGGGGTTTAAAAGCCACTGGGACGTTATGTTTAGAAAATAAATGTCTCACTTTCTCTGATACTCCCTCAACATACGGAATGACCACTGGTCTGGGTCTGGGTTCCTCCTTTTCACCTGATGGCTGACTGGAGTCCTGTTTGGGTTTCTTCTCTGCTTTCAGGAAGGCCCAGTTAGGATATCCACATTGCTCTAGAGCCTGTTTTGTGTAGGATTTCTCCTTCTGCCTGGCTCCTGAGCTAGTGGGGACGCTGTCTGCTCCGTGATACAGAGTCCTGATGACTCCTAACTTGTGCTCCAAAGGGTGATGGGAGTCAAACTGCAAATACTGGTCTGTGTGGGTGGGTTTGCGGTACACCTCGGTTTGCAATTGTCCTCTATCAGAGACTGAGACCTCACAGTCCAAGAAAGCCAACTTGCCATTTTTTACATCTTCTCGTGTGAACTTGAATACAGCACCTCAGACTGAGGAAGTCTCTTGGATGAGAGACGAAACGTTTCTATATTTTTTTGCTTTGTTTTTTTTTTTTTTTTCTTTTTGAATGTCCAGAGGACCAGATTTGAACTTTTTTGGATTTTTCTACCTGGATTATTGAGCATGCATCAGGATATTTTGAACCACTTTGGCCAGGATTGCCTCAAACTAGTTAGAGAGTTTGAGAAAACAGCAAGGAAGAGGGCAGACTACAGGAACCACTTGCGATTCAACCTCAGATGTCGACAAAGTGGCATCATTCCCAAGAGCCTGGAACTAAAATCATCGGTCAGCGGGCACCGGGCAAGCAAGATCCTTCAGAAGGCACAGACCCAGCTGCTGAATGAACGGGTGAGACAGACCAATTTTACTATTGAAGCCTTGAAGGCCAAAGAAGAGCACATTAAACAGAAACTAACTATGTGTCTAGATCAGACCACACTTCAGCAAGTGTTGGACTGTACAGATCAGGCACGCTTAGCACAGCATGTCAAGTCCAAGACTCGACAACAAAACAAGTTTAACTTACTAATAACTCATCAACACCATCACTATTCTAATAACAACACATTCAGTGTAGGACAACACTCCAGTAGTCAATTACATGCCAGGGAGACAGAAAAGTGGGTGAAGAATTTAAATGAAAAGAAAAAAACAGGAGCAGGAGTCATGTTACCAGGAGTGGGACAGGACAGGATTCAATTTTTTACTCTGGACCAGGATTGGGACAAGACAGGATTTTTCCTGTGGGACCAGGACAGGACAGGACAGGAGTGAAAATCCACTCCTGTGTCATCCTCTACTGGAGACCTGTCCAGGTGTCCCTGTGATGGACTGGAGACGTGTCCAGGTATCTCTTTAATGGACTGAGACCTGTCCAGGTGTCCCTGTGATGGACTGAGACCTATTCAGGTGTCCCTGTGATGGACTCTGTGAAACCTGTACAGGTTTCCCAGTGATGGACTCTGAGACCTGTCCAGGTGTCCTGATGATGGACTGGAGAACTGTCCAGGTGCCACTGTGATGGACTGGAGACATGTCCGGGTGTCCCTGTGATGGACTGAGACATGTTCAGGTGTCCCTGTGATGGACTCTGAGACCTAGTTCTTGCTAGTGTTAGCTTAGCATGGCTGCTGCTTCTC